GATGTGTATAAGAGACAGGTTTTGCATAATGCATCAAGCCAAATGAGGATAAAAATAGATGAAAAAAATAATACTTTTAATAATAATTACAAGTGAAGAATGATATAATTCACCTATTTTTTAGTTTAACAAACATAATTTTAACTCATATTTGACATTTTGTAAGAATGATAAAAATAATAATAAAATAATAATAATAATAATAATAATACTAATAAACAATTTTTCATGCTTTCATTAACTTTTCATTTAAGAAATTAAAAAACATGGTAATAATACATATATAATAATTAAACTTTTTTAACCCATTTAAATTGGGTAAAAGCAGAAACATTATTGAAATACTATACTTTGCTTATTTTATACAAAAACTTACTTGGAGTGTTTCTTGCCAGTATTTCTGGAGGCTTGTTAGCTCTTCACGATGAACCTCAATTACTTGACGGAATGTTTTCACCTTACCACGATAGTCAGTGCGGAGTCCAACCACAAATACATTAAACTGGGCCTATTGTAAACATCACAACTAAATTAAAATCAATATTATGCTTCAACATACAAATACAACTTAGCACATTTGTACAAATTAGTGGAATAAATCAAACAGTAATAATTTCAATATTACAATAATATTGAAATTGACACAGCACATTTGAACAAAGGATAGAATATGCTTGGAATGGTTAATGAATTATAATAAAAACGTCTGTCTACAGTGTATTAAACTGCACATTATTGCCCAATATTTAATAAAATTGAAATTGACAAAGCACATATGAACATACGATAGAATATGCTTAGAAAGGTTTATGAATTATAATAAAAACACGTCCGTCTATATTGCATTATACTTCTCATTATTGCCCGATATTTAATAACACTGAGATTGACATAGCAGATATGAACATGGGATAGAATATATATATTAAACTGCACTTTATTGCCCAATATTTAATAAAATTGAAATTGACAAAGCACATATGAACATACGATAGAATATGCTTAGAAAGGTTTATGAATTATAATAAAAACACGTCCGTCATTATACTTCTCATTACTGCCTGATATTTAATAACACTGAGATTGACATAGCAGATTTGAACATGGGATAGAATATATGCATGGAAAGGTTTATGAATTACAATAAAATTATTTCTGTCTATTGAACTAAATTTAATTATATTGAAATTGACATAGCACATTTGAATATAGAATAGAATATATGCATGGAAAGTTTTATTAATTATAATGAAAAATATGTCTGTCTATAGTGCATTATGCACAGGACTTCATGCTCTTCACATTAATACCCAGGTCATCAGATCAAACATATATGGGATACATAATCAGCTTTTGAAGAAACTATTAATGTACATATTTTGCAGCTGGTAGTACACTGATATTTGAACATGATACAAGGTATTACATATTACAAAATGCCTTGTCCAACAATACAAATGGTAAGCCCAATGATGGTGATGTTTATAATGATAATGAAATGATGACATGGATAATGATGGCCATAACTATGATAATAATAAGAATGATAATGAATTATGATGATAAAAATTAATATTATTATTATAACATCATGATGATGATTTTAATGATAATCAGGACTATGTTGAAATAATCGTGATGATAATGATGATGTCATTATCGTAATTTTTACCTGCGTCTCATTTTCGATTGCACGGTAGGAATCTTGGATGTCGGAGACAATCTTGATATGGTTTGCCTTCATTTTCTTCATATCCATCATTACCTATTCAATACAAGTCATTAATTTTTTTCTTTCCATACAAAGTACTTTATATACCTTTATTAGGCGAGATATTTTTATATCTTGTTTAACGAACCCACCGCCTACCAATGAAGTTTTTCTTTACTTTTATTACGCCCGCCTCTGCCCTGACATCTCCAAGAATAAGATATGTATATTTATTCCTAATTATATAAATTTAAAGCATTTAACCATCCCATTACTACATTGTTTACATTCAACAATAAAATGTTATTTTTATTTTCTCCTCCATCTGCATTTTTTTGGCAAAACCATTGCTAAACACAAAATGTTATTCTTATTTTTTTTTCACCCTCCTCTGAAGATCTTTAAAAAAAAGTTTGCAAAACAAAGAATAAAAAAAGTCTTGCATAAATAACATTACATCTAATTCTAAGAAATCTGGTATTTACAAATTAAATATGATCAATTATTTACAGTCAGAGTGATTAATATTATTTTACCTTTTCTAAGGAGTCTCGTGCGTAAAGGAAGGGTACATACGCTTGTTGCTCATTTTCCAGCTGTGGTGGTGGTATTCGCACAGAAGATGTTGTGGATACAAGACTCTTTGTGTCCTCCTGGTTCTTTGTCCACATCACAGCACCACTAGTTCCCTCCCCAAATACATCAATTCTGTCTTTAGGCTTAGCTTCTTCAATACTGATGACAGTATGCATGCTGGGAACGCTGCCTGTGTGGGTCCCCTGTCCGGGGCTGCGTGTTCGCTCCTTATGTCCCTTTTGACCGTCGGCCGTCTGGGGCCGCAGGTTTGGTTGAGACGAAGTGTTATTTAGATCAACCATACTGGATTCACTCCAAGCTAAAACATATACAATGAATATAAAAAGAAGAAGATTAATGGCAATAGTTAACAAGAGTAACGGATTGTAAAAGATATGATAATGGGCTATCTACAGTGACATATACATAACTACCTTGGGTTGGCTCTGGCTTGCCAGGAACAACATCCCCATCAATGGGCACCACAACATTGGATGGAATCTTTTTGCCAGAGTCTGCACTATATCTGCCACTTGATGATGAAGCTGGCCGTTGAGGTGGTTCAGTGCTCCTCCTTCCATTCACAGACAACAAGGAGCGGTTTTGGTCTGTAGCAGGTTCTTTATCTACATTTTTTAGATCTTTCAACTCTTCCTGTGAATGAGTGTAGATTTACATAAAGTGGATTTTAGACTGAGAATCAACATTATATAGTGTCAGCTTACAATTAATACTGTACAGTATATCAAAATAATAATTATAACAACAATAGAAGTTTGTAAAATTATGCTAAACTTGTTGATCCTCCCATATCCTGCTGATACTCAGGAGCCTTTGATTGCACGACAACGGTAGGACTTCAAACATAATGAAAAGCCTAAGGAGAAATCTGCGCATGTGAGAACATTGAATTCTCATTGTCGCCTGTACTTTGGCCCGAATTTACGTTGTGAATGTAGGACAGTCATGGATGTCGTCATGCAAATCAAAAATTCCTTATTAACACAGAATATGCTTCCTAGGCCTTGCTTGCTTGGGAAATGTCCCTCCAAACCCTTCATTAAGTCATACCACATATTCCTCAGTCTACTCACTTATAAATGTTGTCCCTAAACAAATACTGTATATTTACTGATTTCTTGTGGATCTTTTGTTGCACAAAATATTAGCAACCAGACTTCTAATTCTGATTGGATGTTATTGTTATAATCCAATGCATACGTATAATAATACTTAATCAGAATTAGGAATTCATTTTAAAATTGGTGTAACAACACATTAGGCTGACCAGCCCTCCATAAACTAACGTTAGAATACCGCACTTTCGGCGGTAAAGAACAATTAAAACCTCATAAAAAAGGCAACTAATCCGTTTACCTATAATTGAATCCAAGGACACAAGTGTTAAACACTCAGTACTTATCCTGGATAATGTGTTAATCCAATTAATATAGTGAGATAACCTAACGTTAGTTTATCGAGGGCGGGTTGAGCTAATGAGCCACTGCCTATATAATATAAATACAATTTATAGCTCTTACCTCAACTTTATCTACATTTAAAACTTTGTCATTTTCGGCAGCTTCTTTGACAGACACAAAACTGCCTGCTTTCTTCATTGACACATTATCGCCTGCTGATAGTGTTATAGAGGGCTGCGGTGAAGGACCTCGTGTCTGCGTATCAGTACCTTCCTCCGAAGTCCATCCTGAACAAGAAATTAAAATTAAATAAATTCACTTTTAGGAGAATGAAGATATATTTTTCAATTATTAAGATATTTAAATATCAAGCTGACTTTTTCAATATGTAATATTAAAAGATCAAATGTAAAAAAATTATAAACATTAGATTTTAAATTTTGTAAACTTGTGTGTTCAGCTAAGTAGCAAAGCAAAAAATCTAACTTACCTTGCGATAAAGACGACACTGGCCTCTCGCCATCTTCATCCTGTGGACTAACCTTTTTGCGTCGATGCCTAGGTTTTTGCGCCGTAGCCATAATAGAGAAAGTCCTCAATTCTCTGTACATTCAAACATTAAATTTAATTCATATGTAAAATAGAAAATACATAATCAAGTGGATACAAAACATAGTAGCAAGATCACCCAAATGAAAGTACAGAACGGTCTGACGCTAGTAAGCATACCGTACCTTGCTAGTTACTTAAAGTGGAGTTACAACCAACTACCTGGTTTAGACCTCATAGGAAAGCAGTATTATTAATATATAGACCCCTTGATTGTTGACACTTTGTTTAGCATAGGCCTATATAGATGAGGACACTGACTTGCTCTCGATCTTTAGTTCTGTTCAGTCCACTTTCTGTTCCCATGCTGAATAAGGTCAATTTAAAACAAAGTTCAAAATTTAATATACAGTATTAAAATTTAATGTTAATAAATTTTCTTTTATTTTTTATTTCAAATAATATGTCTTGTTGGATGTGTTCGCGTTTGACTTTTGTACTAACAACCCCCTATATTAAAAATATAGAAACCTTCAAAATCGACAGTCAGTATGTGACACCCAAGCACTGCTTTTTCAAGGAAAGAATCACTGGACCCGTACAGTAGTAATACGAGAACCTTAGCGCTCCAGGTCACCAGAAATAGTGAGGTGGAACACCTTCCCAAACACTTCTCTCAATGCGTAGGCTATATACCTAGGCCGAACAAGCCCAACCGTATGGTATTATGTTGCTGTATTATTAATCTCTCTAGGCTAGAAGGAGGCTAGGCCTAGCTAGGAAACATTGTTAGGGCTGCAATTATATCATAGTTAAGTAAGGCCTAGGCCTAGATAAGTAGACTTAAATTAAACATAAAATTTAATATACTTATCACAAACCTCACATTCACTATTTATATAAAATAATAGTCATTTTCACTACGACGAACAAAATGGTTTATCCTTCTTTCGCCTCTCTGCCTCTGCCATTCCCTCATTATCTGTTGCCTAGAGAGAGTGTTTACACTCTGACGTCACTCTGCTAATTGTTATGCAAACTATCGGTAAGTGCCGTGTGCAGACAGTTTCTGGCACGACGTAACACCGGCAAAGATATTATGAAGTCACAACCGAAATTTTAATTAACTTATGTATCATTAATATTATTATGTATGTAATAACTTATTCCATTTAAATAACATCTTTGAATTTCCAAGAAGATAATTAACAGTGCATAAAATCATATTATACTGAACCGATTTCCGTCAATGTATTCATAATGCAAGGTATCGTATGTTTAGTTTGTAGGAAAGTCATATCCAGTGTAGGCCTCAGATTTGTATGTAATACAGTACTATTTTAACTGCACTGCACGCCTAAACAAGGCAAGAAAATCCACGCAAATGCAATTAAAACTTTTAATAATTCATTTTAAAAGGATCAATTAAGTTACAATTACACTTCCAACCAGAAACAAATAGGGAAAAAAACGTTTTGCAGATTTTCAGACAATTAATTGAATGCAAAAAATCCGTAAACCGATTAGCCAATTAAGTCAATACAGAAAGGTATTAACTCTGTCCATTAATTGAAGGGGGATTTTTTTTTTATCTCAAAGAAATGTTTAATTTAAGTTAAGCTATACAAATTAGGCAATTCAAAATTATACATTTTTCCATTTTTAGCACATGACAGACAGCAACTACTATCATTGAGCTTTTAATGTATTATCTTAAAACTGAACGAATACACCTAAGCACCAATTAACTTGATACAACATCATTAATTACAGTTACTATTAATATCTAATCTATTTATTATTTTTTTTCACTACCAACAAACAATAGGCCTATTTTATTATACGGTACTTAGGCCTATATTTGTAATAAATAACCGTATGCATGCAGTTACCGTACTTACCATCGAGATTGTATAGTCAAACCTCCAATTTGAATTACATTCGTATAATATTATTTAGAAATTCATGTTCACATACCGGTATCATATTTAGTTCTAAATATTTATGCGAGATTATGATAATAAGCCTAATAAACCTACTATTCAAAGCCTATCGTCAATCTTATTGCACTGAATAAATACAGTATAACATCAGTTTCGCAACATGATACGACATAATTGCAGTATTTGCAAATACTGCGCTGTTAAAATGTTCAGGTAACGGCAAATATAAATATTCATATTTAATTAGCACTTCGAATCATCAATTATTTTGCTGAATATCTGCGTAATGCTTGGAGGAATTAATTACCAACGTCGTGGTAACCAATAGCGACGAGAATTTTTCATTATTACTATCATCACCATTATTCGACGTATATGCTGAAGACGACGAGAGGCGCTGTACGAAGCTTTCAGTTCGAGAAAGACATTACAATATGGCGAAGGCGAGTTTCTTTTTATTCTTAATTGTCTCAATTATTGGTCTGCAGCAAGTGATTTCTTTGACACAGTCGCAGGTAAATTATTTAAAACAGCGATTGAATGACCGATTCAATCTACCAGTTTCAGATTACTCACAATTCAGTGAATTTAGTGAGACAAAAAACGAGATAGATAGTGGTGCCTCAATACAAAATGAATACGATGAAGAAAGAACAATAAATGAAAAGAGCGAAGAACATAGTCACACAATTGACGTGGACATACGAATGCCGGACGTCAAACCGACATACGTAAGTTGGCATGGATAGTTAACATAACATATTTTTATATGGAAACATGATTATTGATTATAGATTGTTTCGGTAATAAAGATGGTTGTATCAACATCTTATTAGACCTATAATAATATATTATTTATTAAAGTGTTAAACTGTTCATAAATAATTTTGTATAAATGATGAATTACTTTATCCCTATATATCACAGGAGTATTCAACATAGGCCTATTTCATATGCCACATTTTGTGTTTTTAATGTCAAAGACCTGAGTATTGATTTTAAAAGACAGATAAAAAAATGTATACAGAATACCGGTACTTTAATAGAATAATGTACAATTTGTGTATTTATATCCTCTTCACGTGCTACCTAGTATCCGCTATTTAATCTTATATTATTGCTTATTTTTAAGGAAAATGAGTATTTTTGTCATGCTATAGAGATGCCAATGGAACGGTCCGTTTTCATAGGTAGGTCGTCGGTTATTTTTTTTTTAATTCTCCATCTTACTCGATATCACAATCGTCATCATGCTGATGATAATGATGTCATCATTATGATTATTATCAACATCGTCATTGTCATCTTCACAATCACCATCATTGCCATCGGGGTCATCATCAGTTGCGGCAGATATAATTTATGGGGAGGGGGCTAAGATGTCCTACTGGGGATGCTAAGTATTTACGGGTGTAACTATACGCGCAGCGTTATCTGAGGGCCCGGAGCCCCGAGCCAGGTGTAGGTATGGGAAGAGGTGTCCCCTCCCCCAAAACGAGATTTTTTTTTAAAATTGGAACTTCTAGATGGTAGGAAATGGCTGGAATAGGAAAACTAAATTGAATACTACAAGCACATACATACTACAGCTCCACTCATAATGAATAGGCAGATAAGGAAAACACATTACCGGTATTCCATAAGATGTGAATAAAAAAAACACCTCATTTATGTATTTATTAAACAACATTTCGCCATAATCATCATAATTTATTAATCTTCTTTCGTGCGAGCATTGAGTCAACACTTTCATGTAAGCAAATAAAGCACATGCGATTATTGCTGCAGTGCAAAGTGTGGGCGTTCGATAAAACAATATCAAATTGCATTTGATTCAATCTAAATATCAAGAAGAAATTATTCTTACTCTTTGAAGAAGAAATCGTCCCATGAGACAAACCATTTGATTGGAAAGTGGAATAGTCGAATAATTACATTATTAATCTGCACTTGACGTGTTTTTTTTTAATTTAATTTTTCTTGTACAATTAAAAGCTTGGTACTCAACTGGAAATGTTCAACGTATTTTGCGCGCAATAATAAATGAAACCTATTCGAGAAATTTACATTGGCTACCGGTATTAAGTTTTCACCTTATTTGAAACCATTAATGTGATTTAGCCTGTTGTATCGAGTTTCCTATTAATCATCTATACGCCTATAGAAATTAAAAGAATAATCGTATTATCAGTTTCACATTCAAAAAAAACAAAAACAAAGAAAAACAATAAAAAACGATTATATTTTTTAAACACACGCCTTGCCTATCTGAGCAAAAATCGTTACACGACACTAAATATTAACAGTGGAGTTTTTTTAAAGTGACAAATATATTTGGATGCTGTTGTCCAGCAGGGTTAGTTTATCACTCCACTTGGCATTAATTTATTGAACGATCAATCGATCAATTGACTGATCAATAAATTGATTGATTGTGAGGTGGTTGATTAACTGATATATAGGCCTAGATAGATTGATTGATTAACTGATTGATTGATTGATTGATTGATTGATTGATTGATTGATTGATTGGTAGATTGATTGATTGGTAGATAGGTAGGCTCCTATATTAATTGATTGATATTTTGCTGATCGATTGTAATGATTGACTAATTGTAACCTTCAGCTATAATATCGGCGCTGGTTCGAACAGCTCACACGCCAATGGTTCCGGTGGTGGAACAAGTCTTCTCGGATAAGAACTTTAAACCGTAGTCACAGTGTACGTATTTGGCTCGTGGAAAATACACAGTACATCCTTCGTGAAGAGTAGGGGGTTACCCCGGTGTACTGGTCCATTCAGTCCCTGTTGTTTAATGGGTATACCACTTAGGATCAAGTTCGCTTATTGGCATGTTCTTGACGCTCGTGCCTAAAGAAATGAAATGAAATTATCAGCTGACTGGTTGATGGCTTCAACCGACTGACTGAACGATGATTAAAGAATAATAATAATAATAATAATAATAATAATAATAATAATAATAATAATAATAATAATAATAATAATAATAATCAAACATTTATAATTCGCCAATTTAAAAAAAAATCAAATGCACAGTTTACTATATACAGTTTGCTATATAAATATGTTTTTAAATTAACTTTCAATGAACCTAAAGTATATTAACGAAGAATCTTTAACAGATTAATTGATAGATTGATTTTTTTAAATTTTGATTAATTGATAATTGAGATTTATTATGACTGATTAAACAATAGATTTATTATTAGACTATTTTATTGATTTCTGAGATTTTATTTGTTTGAATTTAATTACATTTAAATTTCAAGTTGGTTACAAACCACATGCAGAGATGGGAACAGCTCATCATATGCTACTGTATGGATGCAGTGAACCGGGAAGCCAGAATAAAAGTTGGTAGGTAGTACAAGCTAAAGATAGCAATTTGTCAAAATTAATAACATCTGCTTTAATAATATAAATAAAAAATGTTATTAATTATCGATTTGATTTGATTAACTTTATTACCGTAAAATAATTGGTATAATTCCAATATCGTTAACTTACTATCACAAGGAACTGTGGTGAAATGGCAACTACCAACGACGAATCAGTATGTGGTGATGGACCAAGAATATTATATGCATGGGCAATGGATGCTCCATCCCTTGAGCTGCCAAAAGACGTCGGGTTTGAAGTTGGAGGAGATACGGGTATCAACTACCTTGTTTTACAAGTGCATTATGGTGACATATCTGAGAAAATCAAAGGTACTAATAGCAGATCTCCGATCTTGTTCACAAAGTCACGGACTAGTGCTGTCTCGTAAGAATTTCGTAGGACGCGTTAAGAGTGACAAAATATTCTCTGTATCTACTGGAACCGAGCCACATAGCTTGTATTCCACTATTTGCA